ATATGTTGTAATTCTCTGAGAGCCAAATTGACACTTGTTTGCATGATGTTTGCATGACGTCTGCAAATATATATAATAATAGGTTTTTTTCAGTAGGTTAAGCACATTAGCACTGAAAACTGCAAACTTTTGCAAATAATTTACTGCAGGTTTTAAGAAGAACTGATCAAGTTGAAGTAAAGCATGTGCTCAATCTCATGATTCCTATGCCTGAGTGTCCTTGAGCATCTGTGTGACATATATTTGAACACCTCATGCCTGTGAAGGTTCGTATGGACCACTGTATGGACGTCTAAGTGCAGTCCAAAATCTGAGGCTACATGGGATGCGTATGTGCCTGAAAAGTAAACTGGATGCTTGTTGTGTGTACAACACTTATGTCCTGTTGTTTATACTGCACATTGACAATCACAAAACAGAGCATCACTTCCTGTTGCTGTCAGGAGGTTGCCATTGTGTTGTCTAGTGCACATGTGTTAAACGTAATCTTCTAGAAACACCCGTGATTGTAGTATAGAAATATGTATTCACCCCATTTTTTCATATCGAGATCAAATTTGGTGAACTACAAATGTGAATTAGCATCATTACATAAAAGCAACGATGACCTTTAAGGACTTAGTACGGTGAGACCGTCCAGAGACAATGCAACCCAGGATTTACAGCTGTGGTGCACCATCCACTTTTGCATAATGTGAACTGATGAGCATCATGAGACATACTGTTCAATAATCATGGCCAGTCAGTCTCCAGAAATAGATCAGTTTATAAAGTTAATTGTCTACTTAGCACCCATACCAGAGAGACAGCTAAGTGACATTTAGCAGTGACTAACTCGTCAAGCTCATAATACCACATCTAAATCTGAATTTACATCAACCACATACTGACTACTTGATTGATTCCTGAATCATCCCCAGTAATAAAAAAAAATACATAAAAATACTTGAAATTGAAATACTTGGGATGGGTTTTGTTCTGTTAAGTAAACTTTGATGCAACGTCATTCAAACCAGACATTAAATCAATCGTCTCTTCTTTACAAAACCACTACCTGCAATACATTTCCCCAATTGAACAATCAGTGAAATTAAAGAATAAAATTCTTAAGTATTTCAGTGAGGTAAACAACAGCTAAGAAAGAAGTCATGACCAAATGGGATAAAAGGCAGTCAGTCCCACATTGATGAGATGTGATGTGGTCCATTAAGATAAAGTAAGCTGAGGGGATAAATCGCTGACCTTGTTACTTTAATGCAGGTAAATCTGGGCTTTTTATTCACAATGTTACATTTTTGTTGGAGTGCAGACAGAGTTTTGTGAGTGTGTTTGGTGTGTGTGAACGAGAGCAATATTTTGAGTTCCAGTGGTGGAGCTGATCACCATTGTGCATAAATTTGCATGTCAAGCAATGCAGCTGTTCAGCAACTGGAAGTAGCTTCTCACCGATTGGTTGATTCCTTTCATAATTAAGGGAAAATGTGTGTAAAATCACAGACGAGCCACCATCAGAGATCATTGGTGTGCTATGGTTGATTTTTGTGTGGTAGAGAATTGTTTTAGTTAGTAGCTGCTTACAAATAGCAGAATCTCTGTTTGTTTGTTTATTTGTTTTTTTAAAAAAATATATCACAGAAGAGAGAAATGCAAGATTTGATCGTGATCGTGGCTCAAGAGTTGGGAGTTCGCCTTGTAATCGGAAGGTTGCCTGTTCGAGCCCCGGCTCGGACAGTCTCGGTCGTTGTGTCCTTGGGCAAGACACTTCACCTACCGCCTACTGGTGTTGGCCAGAAGGGCTGATGGCGCGATATGGCAGCCTCGCTTCTGTCAGTCTGCCCCAGGGCAGCTGTGGCTACAACTGTAGCTGCCTCCACCAGTGTGTGAATGGGTGGATGACTGGGTGTGTAAGGCGCTTTGGGGTCCCTAGGCGGGACTAGTAAAAGCGCTATACAAATACAGGCCATTTACCATTTTATGATGAAATCATTAAACGTCAGCTATGGACACACAAATTTTGAAAGTTCATACAATTAACCTTTTGCAAGCTGCCTTGACAACGCTGACCTTTGAGTGAACGAGGCATCAAAGAGTTCAAAACGGAGAAGTCTGATGCAGATTAGTGGCTGTGCTGCATCAAGAAACACTCGTGGTTATGAAGACTGTAACAAATAGTAAATCCTTTAAATATAGTGAAGAAACTTTAGTGCCCATGCTAGTAAGTTTAAAATGCCAGAATAAAATACACACATTAAGAAAATGAGGTGTTCGAGTGTGCTGTTGTGTCAGCAGTTAGCTCATCAAATATTAAATGTACAGTCAGATTAAAGCAAGCAAGAGCAACAAAAACTGCACAAGAAATGATTACAATTATTGCATGATGAAAGAAAACACTCAGTGCAGAGTAGGTGTAAGCACAGACAATTAGATAAAGCATGATTAATATAGCATATTAATAATTAATAGTTATTAATTAAGTATATTAATCTTGAGCTGCATCGACTGTGCCTGTTTCAAGTTACATAAATGCAAGCTTACCACAGCTGCAGTGCTGCATGTCGGCCGATCTCAGTACCAGCCAACATGCGCTGGTGAGGGTCCACCTGGCCCACCAAGTACAGCAGCATTACTAAATGTACCCGTGTTAAGATGCGCGAATAGTTAAGTATTTAGTTTTCAAATAAATGGATAAATAATAACATATAATATAATAAAAATTTAAATAAAATAAAATATTAGGTGATCAACAGCCTCAAAGACGTCATTTATTGCATACTGAAAAATACTTAATGATATAAAGATGAAAAAGAGGTCAAAATAATTCTCTCTTTAAAGTAGGTGCACAATGCAGGTATAAATACAGTGAAAATAATTCTGTATGATTAATTGTATGATTAAAGTATATTAAGTTTGAGCTGCACTATAAATAATATAATAATTGATTGATTGATTATACTATATTCATCCCGAGGGAAATTGGGATGATTGGGTTGTGGTAATGCCTTTGTTGAGTTGTATAAACCCAAGCATACCACAGCTGCAGTGTTGCATATCAGCTGATCTCAGTCCAGTGTCAAGTTTTAACGCATTTTTGTGAACTTGCCTTCTCTAAAACAAACCACAATTTATTTTCTTAATCATAACCAAATAGTTTTAGCGCCTGATTCTGACCAAACTATGAAAGCTAAAGTGAAAACAAAACTAAACCAAACCAAAACTCCCACAAGGGACACGATGTGGTCTCCTAGTTGACAGCTGTGTGATCTATATCATCGTCACTCCAATTTCTCCAGTCTCCAGAGCTGTGTGTAACGGCACAAACACCAAAGCCTTACCTTATGTTTTTGTTCTAATCAACATGTTAATTGAGATTCTTTGAGGATCCTAGAAAGCTTTTCAGAGCTGCAGTGAGGGCTGTGAACAGCTGTCTGTGTTTTTCAAAAGTCAGTTTTGTTTTCTGAAAAGCAAACCCTTAGTTTGGCGCACAAAGCCGGGGCTGGAATGAATCGTACCATTCAGAACTCAGTCATTTTAAATGTGAAATGATTTTGCCCTCATCTGAATGTGGACAGGACTACAAGGCAATGTTTTGATCCACAGATGCTCTCTGATAGTTGACATTCAGTGCTCACATTGACCTGAAAATGCTCAAAGGGCTTACATTAAATTTTCATAAATGATGCACTTAATCCGTTTGACTTTTGACCTCCACCTAGATTCGCCTCCACAGCAACCCCATTGGACTGAGTCCCGAGGAAAGTTATTAATGCAGCGTGGAGCTGATGCCCGAGAAGCTAGTCGTAATGTAATGGCACAGAACTGGTCCTAAATATGAGATCCTAAATGTAAGATAGCATCTAATTTACAGTTTGTTATATACATCTGAGAGAGTCTTTGTATGTGTTTACAAAACTTTGCCTTCAACTTTATGCATGTGTGTTCATAAAATCCTGTTTATTAGAGTCTGTGCAAAGTCCAGCTCTGGCAAATGGGGGGCCATTCCCTCATAAAACGCTCTTAAAATGCACTGTTTTTTATTTTGTTTCTGAGCTTTTCCACATGTTTCTAACCAAAAAGCAGAAAACTAAATCAGACGTTTGCTGAAGCTCCATTCAGCCTATCAGATAACACATTTATTTGTTTATTTTTAACACAGCCGCAAATAAGTTAACCCGTCACACAGCTACATTTGTATTAAGTGGGTGATATTTTTGAGGCAGGTTAAAGCACACTAATGCCGGGCTCACACTGTGCCATTTTTTCAGTCGCGCGATTCAGCTCCTGCTCAAACTGTACGATTGACTCGCAGGGGTTAGAAGTTCGTAGGTCACGATGCAGGTCTCACACTATACGGCCCGATGCTCTGATGCGACCTGAGTGCCCACACTGTGCGTCCATAAAATGAAGGTTATAACAGAAATTATGTCGATCGCTCTCCCTCTCTGTCTTTCACTCACACAGACACGCACACCACCGCCATCAACTTTATTAAATTGCTAATGAAAAACATGATCAGGCAGCTGTGATTGAGCAGCAATGTAGATCCAACTATTTTCACGGTTGTTGTGGTCGTGATAATTTTGTGAGGCCACATCGAAAAGGCCCGGATGAGCTTGCCATAGTTCTACAAGTTGTACCTCCATCGCTTGTGTCGCTGCACTGCCGTGCTGCGCCGTCTTTTTCGCTGACATTTGTGTTTGCGCGTGCGCAGTGTGAGAAACTGCGGTGACACCCTCACGACCAAGCAATTGATGATCGGGAGCTGGTCGTGAGGTGTTAATCGCTTCTCGTTACCCCACGTATACTACACGATGCACGACGCACGATGAAGGCCAAAATCGGGCCGATCACCAAAACGGTCGCACGACTCAAAAATCGGCTCAAAATGGGCCAAAAATCGCACAGTGTGAGTCCGGCATAACAGAACCTGCTGAGTGGTTTGGTCTTGTTTCATATAGTGTTTGTATAGGCTGGTGTGACTGAGTGATCGTCATGTGTCATACCTGCAGAAAACCTCCACGCCATCCAGCTGGTAACACTGTCCTCCATTGAAGCAATAGTTGGGCAGCATGTCACACTGCGAGCGGCAACTTCCGTTTATCATCTGGTAGCCCACACGGCATCCATTTGGTAAGGCCGCTGGAGGGGCTACCACAGGGTCTTTTGGTACTGGAGCTCTCGCACCAGGAAATGACCCCCCAGGGAAGAATGAGCCAGACCCGGGAAGCTGTGGCTTGGAACGAGCAGGTGACCCAGCAGCAAGTCGGAGATCTTCATCGGTGTCATAAGCATCGGTTGTGGTGCTGTAGGTGTACTCATCAGCAGTGGGGGACACACCGTCGTCATAGGGTGTAAGATAGTCGTAAGTATCTGGCATTGCCCAGGAGGTTGCTTCGCCACCTTGCAGCTCATTGGCCAGTGATGAAGGTGAGGCGGGGGCGAGGTCTAGGTTGCGCCCACGAGAAGAGGGGTCAAAGAAGTCCACGTGGAGGACATCAGGGTTAGAGGGGTTAGTGGCGGCTGGGGGTGGGGCAGCGGTTGTGGTGAAAAGGTGGTCCAGGTCGAACACAGCTGTGTCCTTGGCATGGATCCACGGTGGGTCAGTGTGTGGCTGACGCTCCTCTTCATCATCCTCCTCCTCCTTGCCGTCGTCAACTCCCTGTTTGTGTGGGTTGCTAGGCAACAGATGCTCCGTCTCAGCTGAGTCGGGGCTGAGCTGTGGTGGAGTGGCCACACTGACATCCTCTACAGTGGAAACCACCGTTTCACCAAACATGCCACTACTCTGCTCCTCCTCCTCGCCGCCACGGGGGATACGGCCGGCCCTTGGGGTCACGGTGCTAACTGGCTCAGGGGTGGCTGGGCTATTTATTCCAGTTACCACAGCAAAAAATTTGTTGACTTTAATTGGCCCTTCCTCTTCGTTAAGCAGGGAGGTGACATTGGACGCACTATCCGGCTCAGTGACATTGATCCCAACAGCGTTTCCTGCAAAGACACAGAAAGAGGTGTAAAGTAAACAGAAGGGAATTTTGGAATAGCAAAGAATTGCCACTTTTTGAACTCTCTGGAAGACGCCACTTGCAAAATCATCCAGAGTGAAGAGGCCCAAAAGTGTAAAATCGATGATCTAAAAAAAAGAAAATTTGAATATTTTTAGTTTTCAGTTCAGAGACAAGGAATGTGGTTGAGTTTGTTAATTTTTTATATGGGTTTAAAATGTAGTAAAAAGTTTTTACTAAGTAGCATTTGGTGACAGCACTACAAGCTACTTTTTGATATTTTGCATTTTAATTTCACACAATACTTGATCAGAAGCCACCTGACAGACGTCATTTTTGACCACCTTAGCTGCTTCTCTTGCACAGCCTAAGTTTCTGGTGTGATTTAAGGTGCCTTCAAGTTAATAAGTCATAATTCCACATTAGCAGAGTGCAACCTTTTCTCTCACCAAAGAAAAAACAAATGAACATCTGTATTATTTGATTTCAGTTTAATCATATAATCAACACTGCAAAAACGAAAATAAAATACAGTTCTTCTGTCAAAAGCAGGTGTAAGCAATTTAGCCATTTAGCCCCCTTTAACTCTTATTCACTCATTACTACATCTACAGCGGCCTCTATGTGAACTGCAGCCAAAGCTGTCAATCGACTCTGTTAGCATTTGAAAAGTGGCCCATGGGAAACACCGCCTTACATAAATATCACTCTGCATTATGAATATTCAAGCCATGAAGGTGATATAATTGTAAACACTGGGGTTTACCATTATGCATGAATTTCTTTTTGAAACTGTGAGCAGAGTCATGCTTCAGTACCGCTTGAATGGAAACATAGAGTTTAATGAGGTGAAAACAATTTAGCTCCCGAAAAGAGACAAATTTGCATCATTAAAAACCTTTTAACCCTCCAATTAACCTATTTCTATGAAACATAGCTGCTTTGACTTGTAGGACCTAAACTGTATGATTCTGACGCTGAGTGACTGCATTATTAACAGTGACTGAGAAATTCCATAAAATACACTTAAAAAAAAACAATGTTAAAACTATGTTAATATTCCTTTTTTGGATATGTTTGTACTGCTGACTAAAAGGTGATGATAACCTCAATTCCCCGAGGATCCCGAAAGCCCCAAACCCTCTGAGCATGTTTTGATTTTTGGATGATTTAATTCACAAATATTTGAACCACTTTGTCACAACTTCAGCAAATAACCCCATTTTTATTAGCTCATTATAAGGCTTTGTGCT